GATGATCGTTACCTTGTGGGTTTGTATTCTGTATAGTATTTTTAATGCATTGCAAAGACTTCATGTAAACTTGTACCATTCTGTTTATTGTCATCAATGTATCCTCAAAACTATGTTTATAAAGAATAGTGCGTAAATATTAAATTAAAGATGGAATGGGAGAAGTAGAAACGTTAAGCAGCCGCAGGAAGAAATCACCATATATATATATATATATATATATATTATATATTATATATATATATATATATATATATATATATATATATATATTATATGTCATAATGATATCATAATTCTCCTATTATGTCACATTATCTGGCGGTGGTCAGAACTACAACTTCTGGCCACTCTCCATCCTCTCGTGCTCCATCTCTCTGCTAGCATGGTGGAGGCGGGATCATCCATCAATATTACCGGCGAGGTGATGTCTATGATCTAGGCTCTCCAAGAAGGAAATAGAAATTGGCTTCGAGGTAATGACACACTGGACTTATGCTCCAGAATGTGAACCCACCTCATTAATTTTCGGATATCCCGTGGGTGGTGGTGGTGGTAGTGGTTGTTGGTGAGGTGGTTTTCCGTTAGTGGTGGTGATCGGTGTGGTGGTAATGGCGATACTACATAACAATAGTAAAGTAGATCAGCTTGCTTGCAATACTTCCACTAAGTCTCCTTTGCATCTTGATGTGTTTCTGAACTTCTTAAAGAAGCTGCCTAACTCCTCTCCCTCTTGAAGTGTTCTTCAACATCTTGAGAAATAAGATCATGCATAAATTCACGTTTTCTCTCCAAAACAAAAATTCCAGACATTTCAAAAATTCGAAAAAAAAAAAATCCCACACTACGACTCAAAAATTATCGTCTATTATAACTAGGTACTTTATGGTCTCTCTGGCTTTAAGTCATAATATTAATAATATTTATTAATTTGGTAATCAACCTTTTTTGTAATATGGAAAAATAATTATATATGTTTTTCTTCAGCTATTTTTTTTATATTTATCTCGATATTAAATAAAAAATAATTAGCCTGATATGAAGTCAGGAAGATAGATACTGATGCTTCTTTACAATCTATCTCTATCTCTATCTCTCTCTCTCTCTCTCTCTCTCTCTCTCTCTCTCTCTCTCTCTCTCTCTCTCTCTCTCTCTCTCTCTCTCTCTCTCCCCTCTTTCTCCCCCTCTCTCTCCGTCTAATACCAATATCGGTGATTATTTTCTCCCCGGCAGCGTTATAAACTTCAGGGCTATAAACTGCGTAAAATGTGGCAACACTGTTACAAACTGGAGACGGGGAGGACTATAATGTAGAGGGAGAAGATGGGAGGGGAGGGGAGATGACAGCAGAGAAAGAGGAGGGGTAAGGGGAAAATGAGAAGGGATGAGGAATCATTTAAGTGACAAGAACTTTGATCAACTGCAAGATATATATACATACATATAATATATATATATATATATATATATATATATTATATATATATATATATATATATATATATATATATATATATATATATTATGTATAACTGAGGTCCCGTGGGTGACAAGCTGTACACTACCATGCTGCTACACTGTGTTGCTTCCAATAGGAGAGATGCACAAAAATAATTTCTATGACTTATTTCCTCCAGCCTCCACCGTCTATGAAACTACTGTCCTTTCCCACGACCACCACGACTCTCTGATTCTTGTCTTTATTTACACTTCGAAGTCCTGTAATCAACGAACGAAGGTCCAGTTGTAACGAGCATCTGTCCATGAATAAACAAAAGAATGGAAAGAAGATCAAACACCTTATCTTCCGGTTACACCATTGATAACCCCCAATATTATTTTCTAGACTCCCTAATTTTGTGTATAAAATTCCCACTAGACATGGCTCTCATACCTCTCCTACCCTCAGCCTCCTCTTCGAGTCACTGCTTCAAGATCATGCCTCACACACACAAAAAAAATGGTTCCAGTACTGATACGGCATCTTTGGAGATAGAGAATGGTAACACATCGACTTCCTTTATCTCCTTCCTCTTTCCAGCGATCCACCTAGTCTTTTGTAGGTCATTTTACTAACACAGTTCCCAGATTTCTTAATACATTTACTTCTTCCATTCAACCCATTCTCGATCTCTGATATTCTAGCTTTCATTGCCTAGATTTTTTCCTCGCCTCACCTTGCTCTATTCTACATTTAATTTTTTTTTTTCACACACCCAAATTATTTTACCTTTTCATATTATCTTTAGGATTTCCCAAGAGCACTGTCTCATCAGCAAAGAGCAACTTTGTGAATTCCCACTTCACGTAAAACTCTCATCCTTCTATTCAACAAACTGTAGACTTTACTTGTTTTGAAATCCCACAAACACGTATTGACATGTATATATATATATATATATATATATGTCGTGCCGAATATGTAAAACTGGTCAATTAGCAAGAACTCATTTAAAATTAAGTCCTTTCTAAAATTTTCTCTTATACGTTTAAAGATATATTTTTTTCATTAATGTTGATGCAAAAATTTATAATTTTGCACCAAAAGGAACTTAGAAAACTTACCTAACCTTATTATAACAAGCGCAATTTATCTTAGCCTAACCCAACTAAATATATTTTAGATTTGTTTACAATAATTTAATGCTAAACAAACACAGTGAAATATATTTTTTTCGTTAGGTTCAGAATGATTTGGGCGAAATTATTGCACACACAAATTTTCACTTGTCCTATATGGCAAGATGAGCGTTGCTATTTAAGCCAAGATCGCAAGTTCTGCCTATTCGGCACGACATATATATATATATATATATATATATATATTATATATATATATATATATATACATATATATTCCAAACGTTTCGGAGTCTAGTATTCCCATCATCAGTGTTAAAATATAGAAGTTACTAAGCAAGGTCACTGGTTATCTTTCTATTCGAGAGATAATCATGAAACTGAAACATAACTGTAGTACATAACTGAAACTGAACAGTGTTACAAAAGTAACTTAAATTGTCAAAGATACATTCCTAAAGCCGTTACCAGTCCAGCCGGGCTGTGGTTCGTGCGCTGGACTGCGTGCGGCCAGCAGTAACAGCCTGGTTGATCAGATCCTGATCCACCTTGAGACCTGGTTATTGACTGGGCCGCGGGGGCGCTGACCCCCAGAACCCCCCCTCAAGTAGTTTCCAGGTAAGACCAATTTTTAAACTCTTACACTAACAACACAATTAGTAAAGAGCTGTGTTGATTTAATAGAGCAGTTTAGTAGGTCTCATTCTCACTGTATACAGGAGCTCAGAGATAAGGTAGAAGCTCGTTGATGTTGAGGTCAGAATTATGGAGTCTCTAGAGGATAGAGGGCGGATGCTTATGTTAGAATGAACTCCAGTTTCAAAGTGAGAGGGCATATTCGTGGGAATGGCACAACTAAAAGTTCTACACTTATGTTCAGAGATGTTTAAAGTTGAATGAGGTAGTTCCCACGTATGGTGAGGTACTGCCCACGTATGGTGAGGTACTGCCCACGTATGGTGAGGTACTGCCCACGTATGGTGAGGTACTGCCCACGTATGGTGAGGTACTGCCCACGTATGGTGAGGTACTCTGTACTTGTCGAAAACAACGGCTCGAACACTTCAACAGACAACACCCGAACTCAGGACACAAGGCAGAAGAACTTCTGCCCTGTAGCCTCTCATATATTTAAATTCATTTGTCATTTTTCTGTGTACATTTCTGTTCTGTGTGTTTATCTGTTTAGTATGAGCATATCTGTTTTCCCGTATGTGTGTGTGTATGTGATTGTCTGCTGGATATTTAGGCCTTACGCTGAGTCCCTCTCCAGTAGATTGCAAGATATCATTATTAATCTCTGAGTAATACCCACCAGGACACCTGTGGGTCGCTCTCAACAGGACTTACCCCTCACCCCTCCAGTTTCCCTTTTTTTATTACCCTCTCTCCTCTCCCCATCTTCTCTCTCCTCCATTTACCCCGTTTGCTCTTGTTCCTAATCAACCCCTTTAGGAATGTTTTAATCATCCTTGCTGAGCATAAAACCAAAATCTCTCTCTCTCTCCCCGGAATCATAACTGGTACGTAACTTCGTCAGTTCTTCAGTGTTGTATCTAGGTGCAGCAACCTAAAGCACTAAATCATTCTCTCTTTACTCTGATTAGCCTTCTCTCCCGGGTGCCTCCCCAAGCAGTCAGTGGATGGCGAGTAGCCAGTGGTGAAGCCACTCGGATCACAACCCGAGGGTCCCGGGGTCGATATCTGGGCAGGTGATACGTGTGGCAGTGTTCTCCTTAGACCCTTACTGCCCGTGCCCCCCTAACAACCCGGGTAGACACCAGTGTGTTAACCTAACGTTGTGGGTCACATCCAAGGAAAAATGCTACTTAAATATGCTAAACTCTCGTCCGTCCTGCTGACAGTCAAATCACAAGAAATTCCGGTTCTGCTGCACTGATTATGTATATATATATATATATATATATATATATATATATATATATATATATATAGGGGGGTAAAGGAGGTTTTGTGTGCGAGGGGCTTGGACTTCCAGCAGGCATGCGTGAGCGTGTTTGATAGGAGTGAATGGAGACAAATGGTTTTTAATACTTGACGTGCTGTTGGAGTGTGAGCAAAGTAACATTTATGAAGGGGTTCAGGGAAACCGGCAGGCCGGACTTGAGTCCTGGAGATGGGAAGTACAGTGCCTGCACTCTGAAGGAGGGGTGTTAATGTTGCAGTTTAAAAACTGTAGTGTAAAGCACCCTTCTGGCAAGACAGTGATGGAGTGAATGATGGTGAAAGTTTTTCTTTTTCGGGCCACCCTGCCTTGGTGGGAATAGGCCAGTGTGATAATAAAATAAATTATATATATATATATATATATATATATATATATATATATATATATATATATATATATATATATATATATATATATAACCTTCATTTTAGGTGTCAGGCAATTAGTCGCCTGGAGGGATTTTTATCCAATTGAAATATCGATTTCGTGTGTAAATAAATCAAAGATGTCGGCCAGGAACAATCTTCGGTCCTCCCTTCGGAGGACATAGCTTAAGATGGGTTCATTTAGCGTCCCAAAGGTTCACTTGCCGTCCTGAAAGGTTCGCTTAGCACCTCAAAGGATTTACTTAGCATACCGAAGATTAGCTTAGTGTACCAAAGGTAAGGAGTGAGAAACGCAAGCCTACTCGCCCGCCCGTAAGCCCTGGGAGCGGGAGCAATTAAGTGGCAGAAGAGTGCGAAATACTCTGGAATGAGAACGAAGCCGGCAGAACCTCCGAGGAAGCATGTCCTGCCGGGTAGGTGGTCAAGAACAGCCTGCCACGCCTTATAATTCAGGATATATAACGTGGGTCTTCTCGGCTCAGCTTCCCGCCGCTGACAGTGGCTCGTGTGTCCCCATTCTTCTCCATAATTTGTTTTCTTTTACTCTCTCCCAGCTCGACGCGTGTGGATTTAATATCGGTGGATGGGGGCGTGCAGGGGCGAGCAGGCGGCCGTGGTGAATCGGCAATGGAGGGTCTGAGAGGACCCTAGTCCGCCCACACAAAGATGGTGCGTCAGTGTCTATATATTAACTGGTTTCGCTTCCTGTCGATCCTCTCAATGGCTTCATCTGTTGGTAAATTATTCATTATACACGCCATTCACACCCATTGATACTGCCAGGTGTCGCCAGACTGAACGTCGTCAATTGGCAAGTAGCACAGAAGATGAGGTTCATCAGTGGTCTGGTCGCTCAAGATGTTTACCGGAAAATAAAGCTCTGGGTGTGTTTGCCTGCAGAGCGTTTAGTGGAGATGTGCAAGCAGAAACCACATGTATTTGCTTTAGGGTTTGAGAGAGAGAACATGCAGCGTAAAGCTGCTGGTAATGGAATGCCCTGGCGTGCTCTCACCCCCGTGATAGGCTCGAGGCTGCGCCGGTGGGCGGCGCATCACACCCACCGACCAACCACTCCTCTGGGGATGGGCGTAACCTGGCCCCTCCTCTTCACACCGCCATGCCAGCCAGAGTTACTGCCTGACATAATATTCCAGGTTGCTTGGTGGAAAGAACAAACATTTGTTGACGTTTCACGTAAGACGATCTAATTTAAGAGTGCACAGGAGAAGAATACAGGGAGAATAAGAGAGCTGTCAGTGTGACAGAATACTGACGCGAGGTGAAGGCTGTAACTCAGCCGTGTAACACTAGTTCGACCAGTGAAACAACGTCGCTAGTGGCAGCAGTGTTGTGGTGTTGGTCCGCTGGCTAGCATACACACGATCGTGAGGCTACGTTGAGGTTTTAACCTCCAGGGATATGATTCAGCGGCGTTAAAGAGTGTTTGTGTATAAGGAGGTACTGCGAGGATTGCGTAGTGACTTAAGGAAGTGTGTGAGGAGTGGCAAGGATGTGGCAGAGGGCGGCAGCGGCGGCAGAGCGGCGGTGAACATCAGTGTTCGGCCGCGCCACCCGCTGTGGAGGGTGGCCGGTCCCGCATGTGTCCAAGCATGAGCGCAGATGCGGCGTCTGGGACCTGGGGAGGCTCGCCGGAGGCTGCAGAGATCCTCCACAATGATGCTGGCAGGGAGGAGGAGAAGGAAGCAGGGGCCCCCAGCCTCCCCCACCACCTCGCCGGGGATGACTCCGATAGTGACATTAGTGTGGGGTGTCCCTCACCCAAGCCTGATGACGGCACTTCCCCGGCAGTGGAGTCTCAATCTGTCGCAGGTCACAGCGAGGACCTGGGAAATCCCCCTTCGCGCACGCCGACTCCAGGCGCTGGTTCGACACCCATGAAGTACCAAGAAGATGGAATCGCCTCCCCGGAGAGTGTCATGTCGCCTCCACCGCCCCCTACCACTCCCGTCAAAGAAGGAACTGAGGACGAATACTTCAAGCCGCTGAAAAAACTGAGAATGATACAGTTGCAACAGCAAGAGGAGGCGGCGGCAGCTTTAGCGGCTCGAACTAACGCTGGAGTAAAGTCCTTTTCGATCTTAGAGATCCTCAGTCACAAACCTGTAGTGGCCAAGGCTCCTGAAGCCTCAGGAGCCCGCATCGTTAGGCCCTGGGACACCGATGAAGAGGAGGACGCGTCGCGGCCACAGTCGGTGGACGACATGAGCGTCTCCTCGGCGTCTTCTTCAGGCGGGTCGCCGCGGCCAGCGTCCAGTGGATCAGGCCAGGGCCACTCCCGCACCCGCGGCAAGGATGGCAACCCTCTGGACGCTCTTTTCCAGATGACCAGCAAGACTTTTGAGGGACTCAAAGGTGGCCAGCAGCCCGGTGAGTACCATCCCTCTATAGTAAATTTTCCAGTACCATGCCTCCATAGTAACACTTCCAGTATCATACCTCCATAGTAAGTCTTCCAATACCATGTGTTCATAGTCTTGTAGTTCATAGTAAGTCGTTCAATTCAAAGTCTTTCAGTTCATAGTAAATGATCCAGGACTCGAGTAA